GTGGAAGAATGCCACAAGAATTGGTGATTCTTGATGAGTTCTAGAGATCAAGCTGCAATCTTGAAAAAAAAAAAAAAAACAAAATATTTAATTATTCCTCCGAAAAGTGTGTAGCCAAAATAGCCTACAACTATCTATAACTAACTAATTAGCCCAAAATAAGGCTAACACCCCATTAATAGGTCTTAACCCTAATAACTAACCCAAACCCAACTAATAAAAATAACAAAAGACTTGGGCTTTAGTAAATAAATAGCTCCAGCCTATTACACCAAAATAAGTCTTAAAATAACTTAAAATAGCCCACATAAAATAACAATTATTAAGCCCCATGAACAAAGGCTTGGACGCCAACTTGGACCCAATTAGGGCTAGCAAGAATGGTCTTTAATTCCTCAAACTTGGACTTGGGCTTTAATCTTGTTAACAATCTTTTTGGATCCCTCTAAGGTATACTCGACTTCATGCATTGCTTCCTTGGCTTCAAGTTGTTCAATTACGCTTGACAAGGCACGTTGCATCTTTTTAGCTTGACTCCTTATAATCGGGCCCACTAGAATGTGAAGAGGATCTTGTGTCGGCTTTACGAAAATAGGCTACTCGGTCATGTCCTCATCAATTGGTCCTAGGGGGTTCGATCCCAAAACCTGGCCCAAACTGTGGAGGAGGTCCCTAGCCCAAGCCCATACCTTTTTTTTTTCTTAAAATGTCCCTTGGCAAATTACCAAAAACCTTCTATTATGCATTTGGAGGATCATCCCTAAATCAGTTTTACCTTCCATCCACCGAAGAAATAAAAGGGTTCGATCCATTTTCACCTTTTCAAGAGGCACCAACTCCAATTCCACAACCACAAACGGTCGGGACTGGGTCCAGCCAAACACAAGCGAGCTGCAACTCCACAGCCCTACTGTCACAGAGGGTCGTGTCCAAGGTATGGAAATTTTTCACCAAATCAAAATAGCCAAAGCTAAATAGGTTGGGAGAAAAGACGCACGGGAACATAATTTTTGTTCAACAGTTATCGACATTGAGAACAAGACTTCGACGGTGCGGTAACACTTGGAAAAGAAGCACCCCCAACAAATGCAGCAGTCCCACCAGCCCAGTTCAGGTTCAAGTACTGCACCAAGTAGACAAATTCAAACTCAACTTAATTTCAATCCACAATCCTCAACTCTTTCAACATGAAATTACAATGTACTCACAGCACGAGAGGAAATAGCAAAATTCAGATGTGCTACGGACTCTCCTATTTCTTTATCTGAAAATCTTTATTTTGTTCAAATGATTAAAACTGCTTTTTGTCTAGCATTTACCCCTTTTAGTAGAGCTACAACTAGAAGTGACATAAAAAACCTTTATGATAAAATAAAAAATCAACTTAAAAAAGAATTTCAAAATTTTAGGAATATATCTATTACACTTAGTTCAGATATATGGGCTTTTAGATCAAAAATAGATTTTTTGAGTGTCACAATACATTATCTAGATCATGGTTGGCATTTACAACAAAAATTAATAGGTTTTGAAGCATTATATGAAAAACATAGTGTTGAAACTATTTATTTTACAATTATTGAAGTTTTGCAAGAATATTTATTATCTGAGAGAGTTGTGGCGCTAAAGCTTTGATAATACAACTGCTAACACCTCGACAATTTTTTTATTTGAAAAGAGATTGAATCCGCATGGTGAAGGCAAATTTTTTTCACTAGAGTTGTGCTTGCCACATCATCAATTTGATGGTTAAAGCAAGTTTAAAAACTATACATTTGAGGATTGAAAGAGTGTGTGCGACTATTGGATTGATCGTCGGTAGCAATTCAAGATGGACTAAATTCCGCAAATATTGTATCCAAGAGAATCCGCCGATTCAACCAAAGAAGTTATGTACGGACATGCCTGTCCGTTGGAACTCCATGTACCTGATGAAAGTTATACCAACCGCAAGACAAATTATAGAGTTCGTCAACCCGAAGAACTATCTGTAGGACGTCGTCAACGAATCCGATTAGAAGGTTTGCAAACTATTTTTTTCGTTTCTTAAAGTTTTTTACAATTTCACTGATTTATTAAGTGGTATTTATTATCCTATTACTAATGTAGCGTTTGATGTTTTACTTCGAATTTTTACAACTTTTGCTACATATAGATATAATGAAATTTGCACGACATTGTCGTTGAAATGGAAAAAAATACCAGAAATATTGGTTAGATATTTCCTTCTTATATGGATTAGGTCTTATTATAGATCTTAGATTTAAATCAAGCGTATTTAATTATACGGTTGCTAAGATAGATCATAATTTACAATATGACTATAGTTCGTATTTGATAGAATTTAACAGAAAATTGGAAAACATTTTTTCTTTGTATCAAACTAGGCACACTGGACTGTCCATCGCTAGCAAAGACGAGTAGCAGGACCCTAATGAAGACCAAGGATGGCAAGGAATGAGCATCTGGAGGCTTGTGGAACACGACAAAAGTGGTGGTGGTGGAAGTAGCAGCTTGTACAGACAACTTGGACCAAATGAGCTGCATTGGTATCTACAAATGGACATGTCCTACATAACCACGAATGAGAAGCGTGAGATGAATGTGCTTCAATGGTGGAACCACAGTGCAAGTCAATTCCCTATAGTAGCCCAAATGGCACGTGACATTTTATCTGTATTAGTTTCGACAATTGCATCCGACTTAGCATTCTCAATTAGTGGCCGCATTGTTGAAGAGAGAAGATGTTTTTTAACCAATGAGATGATTGAAGTCATAAAATGTTTACGGGATTGGACTCATGCGAACAGAAGAGATCAGCTGCACCCTGAAGATCCTGAACTACTCAACCTTTTCGAAACACTGATTTGGAGGATGTAAATATTATTGACGATGAAAATTAATAATTTAATAAAATCAAATTTATTTAATTGTTTATTTGTAAAGTGTGATTGTGTGAATATTATATTTATGTTAAAACTTAAAATTAAATTATTATTATCTCCTTAAAGATTAAATTAAAAACACCCTAAATTTATAACCAATTAAGAATTAAGTCATTGTTCATTAACATTTAATTATTCATTTATATTTAATTATTAATTAATTAATTAAAAATTTTACAAATTACTCCTAAAAATTACATTAAACCACCTATATAATTTCGATTAAGTATACATATATATAAAAAAAAATACAGGGGTAAATGAAATTATTTAGGGCCATGGGACCGGTTTGGTCCTAAATATTTTTTATGGGCCTAGGACCGGTCCTAAGCCCATGAAAGACTGATCCCAAATGGGACCCGTCCCTGCCCACCTTTACTCCTTACATCTTCATCTCAGCTTACTTTTCAATTAACAATGCTTTAAACTTGTCTTTTTTTACAAAATTTTAAAAAATAAATCAAAAGATGAAAAAGGTATTGACTGATTGAGGAGAAGGGTTATGGCATGGAAAAGTTGACGGCATGGAGGAGATGGTCGACTATATGGAGGAGAGAGGTGGTGGAGAGAGAAGTTGTTGGGTTGAGGTTTGCTCGCGTCAAAACCATATTTGGCATGGCTTGCGTTGGTGAAGCCGCACAACTTATCCTAGATTACTGTTGATTTTCGTTCGTCGGTGCAATACTAAGTTTGATTTGGTGCCGGATTGTTTTTTTTATTTTTTTGGGTGTTTTTCTAATTTAAGAGGATTGAAAGACGAAAAGAAAGAGAAGAGAAAAGGGGTTTAGAGAGAAAATAGTGGTTTTGAAGGAAGGAAAGTTGGTTAGGGATTGGGTGTGCAAAATCATTAAAAAATTTAAGTCAAATAGTAAAGGATATTTTCATCTTTACAATAATTATATTATGTCAGTTAACATATCTTACTAACGGATCTTAACAATGGGTGGGAAATTATTTTTCCCAAATTTTTTGGTTGGGAAAACATAATTACGCCAAACCTTGGGTGAGAAATTGTCATTCTCCCTTAAAATGTGTCACAATTTTATGGAACTGGGTTTAATATGTTAAACTTTTTTGAAATTATTTACCGTGTTCAATGAAAATTAACATTCAATTTGTAAAAAAAAGTAAGACAAGTTTTATAATATTATATTTTATAAATCTATCGAAAATTATCTTCAATGTTTTCATGGTTGTGTTGGATTGATTTAATATAGAGTAAACGACTTTTTTCCACCCAAATAATAGTTTAATGACATTTTTTTCACTCACAGACTTTTAAAATATCATTTTACTATATAAATTTATATTTCGTTTTTGATTCTGGCATCCCTACACCATCACCATTCTCTTCCCTGATCATCACTCACCAAAACTCCTCAAACTCTACTCATGCCGACCCTACCAATCGTCAGCAATCGAGCGATTAGGGTTTACGCAGCCATCCCTTCCAAGTCAAATTTTGATCAATCCCAACATCAAAATCTAACATTCCACCATCAAAAGACTCATCAGCCTCCCCTTTTCGAAAGCCCTAACAATCTAGACTGAGTTTGCTCTTTGTTCGTTGTCAGAATATAAATTTAGATAGTAAAGTGATATTTTAAAAGTCCGTGGGTAAAAAAGTGTTATTAAACTATTATTTGGGTGGAAAAAAGTCGTTAACTCTTTAATATAAGATAAACATGTAATGAAACAAAAGAATTGTGATCTCTATACAAAATAAGAATTTATTAATATGAGATAATTAGTTGAAATATGAATAACAAGTGTTATTTTGGAAATAGATAGGACCTTTTTTTTTAGATATTTAGACAATTCTAAAAGTTTTAATGAGATATTTTTAGGAATGAAATTTAACATGATTAAATATAGGGATAAATAAAAAACAATTAACTTAATATAAATATTAACTCAAAAATTTAATTCCTGTGTTAGTGTCACAACCCAAACAACATAAGTAATGCCAGGCGTTTCTTTGAAAAGAACTGAATACTGTGGTGGTTCTAATTAATTAGGTTAACCATTAGGGGCACATTTTTCCCAAATATAAATCGACTCCATCTGTCCCGTCTTAAACCCTAAACCTAAAGACTTTCGTGTTCTTAGAGAAACCCTAGCCTCCCTTTTTGCTACTTCAATTCAGCTGCGAAAATGGTACTCTCTTTTTGTTGCTCAATTGATTAATTGATTTTTGATGTGATTGTGATGTATTAATTGATTATATTGTTTGTTGTTGTAATTGAATTTTACAGACCGGAGAAGCAGTGAACCCAAAGGCATACCCACTTGCCGATTCTCACCTCACCATTACAATACTGGACCTTGTTCAGCAAGCAGCCAACTACAAGCAGCTGAAAAAGGGCGCTAATGAAGCCACAAAGACCCTCAACAGGGGTATCTCCGAGTTCATTGTCATGGCTGCTGATACTGAGCCTCTCGAGATTCTTCTTCATCTTCCCCTTCTTGCTGAAGATAAGGTTAGTTCTTTGATATTAATTTATGCTATTTTCACGACTTTAAAGAATTTAAGTAGTGAATGCTGATTCTTTGCTTGATTAGAACTCTTTTGTATGTGTTTGTGATATGTAGTTCATTGTAAAGATCAATATTGCAAATTATGTACTGTAAATATGATATCCGAACCGTGTATCGTGTAGCTTGTTTGGTCGTATTGATATCATTCATGATATTTGCTGTAGTTGTGCCAACTGTCTGAAAATGAATCCCAATAGACTTGTCAAGGCTTCGTCTCAGGAAGTGGGATTATTTAGATAGGGGAGTGAGAATATGCTCAAGGGTCATTGTTTACTTAGCTTTAGCATACATTCCAAGACATCAATGAATTATATTTGAAAGATGAAATTTGATAATTCCTAATCAGTTATCTTCTGAATGCTACTGATTATGTCTGATTTTGAGACAAACTTTCAGATTGTACGACTGTTTGTATAACATATTTGTCTGGCTGGAAAAGATTTTCATTTGTTCCTAGGGAAGCTTAACATCTCTTCCCTTCAAGTTAAGATTTTTATTAAGTAAACTATAATTAACAATTGCAAAATATAAAGATTTGGATTTTAGATATCATAGCTCATTAGCAGTTTTGTTTCTGTGTTTGCCTTTCCTGATGGTTTACCGCAAGTAGAGCCATATAACCTTTTTATTTGAATCTGGCAGAATGTTCCCTATGTTTTTGTCCCGTCAAAGCAGGCTCTTGGCCGAGCATGTGGTGTCACAAGACCTGTCATTGCTTGCTCTGTGACATCAAATGAGGCGAGTCAGTTGAAGACTCAAATTCAACAACTCAAGGTAATTTGGTTATGTGTCTGTTGTTATGAATAGTTATTATTTTCAGCCACCAGCATTCTGAGTTTCCCTTTCTGTCAAATGCAGGATGCCATCGAAAAGCTATTGATATAAAATATAATGGGATATGCATTCGGTGTGATGGGCCTCTTGGATAGTGGTCACTCCTTTAGAGGCTTTGACTGATGGAGTTGTTGTACCACTGAGGAATGGAGCTTCTAATGTAACCTCTATATTTTAAACTCTTTCTATTTTCCATGTTTTGCATTGTGAGAAAACTTTGGCATTATTAATATTAATACCAAATTCAGGACGAATGATTCTAGAAGCAGTTGTTATAGTTTGTTCAGCGCGTTCTGTTTGCTTCCTTTTACTTTAAACGATGAACTGAATTTATTAAAGATTTTGCTCTGACCTTTTGTCACATTAGAGAAATACTAGCCTTATAAAGAGGCATACAAAGAATCAAATCTAGTTCTTGAAATTTATGATTGCCTTTTTCTTTCTCTCGTTTCTCTTCTTTCAAGGATTGGATTTGACTCTTTATATGGTTTTTTGTATGCCTCTTTGTAAGTAGAGTATTACGGTCACATTATTTAACATCGTTGAGCATGAGCTCTCAACAGCAGATAATTATACAATTTAATATCGAATTTAAAAAAATATTAGAATCTATTGAATGTTGTTGATAACTGTTGGATAAAAAATGAGAGAATTCCTCATATGATAGTCCAGTGCCCTTGAAACGCAGTTGGGAACTTTTGTATAAAGATAAAGCTAATACTCGTAAAATATCACCCCAACAAAATTTCCTTAAAATGACCCAAAATTTTCCTTTTGGTTGAGAACGATGATATAGGTTTGGAGTAATGCTGTACAAAGAAATCTTACAAAGATTTATGTACAAAGTGATGTAAAGATTTATGTACAAAGTGATGTGGCAAAAAATAAATGAAAGAGTGAATACAAAAAGTCAAACTTATCATATTTACTCTTTCATTTATTTTTTGTTACATCATTTTGTGTAAAAAATTTTATGCATCTAACATTATTGGTTTGGAGTGTACCCCAATTAATAATAGTACCCCTTTGATTTTGATTTGAACGACTTATTTGAGTTGAGTTAATAAAAATATAACTTTATGAAAAATCTATTAATTGTTTAGTTTGAAAATTGCAAAAAAAAAACTTTCTAATGTTAATTTATCAAAAAGAGCTTTAATTTATAAAATAAAATCAAATCAGATTTATAAAATAAAATAGGTATACAGTAAAACCTCTCTATAGTGATACTCTATATAAGAATAACCTTTACATAATTATAAAAAATTCAATTCCTAATTTAGGATAGTTATAAATAAGAATAAACTCTACATTGTAATAAGTTATAATTTTTCTAATTCCCGTCTTAAGAAAAGTTGCCTCCACTTAGTAATAAGTATCTGTATATTGAAAAAAAATATATGTTATGTTACATTAAGATTTAAGATGAAATAAAATATTTATCTAAAATTGTTTGAGATAATGATTTATGCTTTAGAGTTGTTACTACAGCTTTTAACTTGCGGATAGATTACTCGCTAGCATGAATATCTTCTTGTTGAAACCATATATTTCTAGTTTTTCAAGTATGTTTAGAGCTTCTTGGCACAAACTTTTTGTCGTACTATCATCCTCATGATTATTTCCTTTATCTTCTTATATAATTGTAGTAATGATTTCTTCTTTAATTAAAACATACATGACGTATTGCTTATTTGGATGATTTAGAAAGACATTAATATTCATTTGATTAATGTAATGAAGTTGTCGAATCTAATCACTAAATTCTACAATGACTCTTTGATTCACCTCATCCACTTCATTTATAACTTGCAATTCATCGACATCGGGGATCCTAATTTGGTAATGATTAAAACAATTGGGCTTCACATCAATTTGCTGCATAATTTTGTGATAATTAAAACAATTGGCAATAATATGTGGCTTCACATCAATTTGCTGCATAATTTTGTAATGATTAAAATAATTGGCAATAGTTTGTGGCTTTACATCAATTTGATCATACATCAATTGCATTTACAATTTCATCAAGGACACTTATCTTTGTTGGTTTCAAGACACGATCTTCTATCAGTTTCAAAAGTAGACAATTAAAGCGCTAAATTGAAATCTTAATAGTATTAAAACATCAATTAAAATCCTAATATTATACTACTAAAATATGAATTATAAAAAAAAATTTGTTATCACACCTCTATTAAGTTATAACCTCCTTATAGTAATAAAATTAATTAATTCCACCATTAGGATTTTTTTTTTTTTTTTTTTTTTTTGATTGACTCTATATATATATATATATATATATATATATAATATATATATATATATATATATATTATATATTATATTATATATATATTTATATATATATATATAGGGCTGCACAAAAAAAAAAAAACCAGAAACCGAACCGAAACCTGTCTGAAAAACTGGTTAACCGGTTTCGGTTTCAAAAAATGACTAAACCGGTTTACCGGTTCGGTTTACGGTTTATATCACTTTCTAAACCGGTTAACCGAAAGTGGTTTAATAAACCAGTTTTCTTATAATTTTAATATAATAATATTATTTTAATTTTTAAAAATCCTTTATTATCTAAAATCCTGAACTAATATTAGTTTGAACTTTGAAATCCCTAACAACTACATAGTACACACTCGACATATACCTCCTCTCCTCCTCTCAAACTCGCCGGTCGTCAGCCCGTCGTTGCGCTCTCCACTCTCCATTGTCTCCAAGACTCCAGTCGCTGTTGCCTTCTCCAGTCTCCAAAGGTGTAACATCTTCTTCTCAAACTCGTCTCTCCTCCTCCCGTCCTCTCCTCTCAAACTCGTCGGCCGCCGCTGCCCTCTCCAGTCTCCACTCTCTAAGACTCCAATCGCCACCGCTGCCCTCTCCAGTCTCTAAAGGTGTAACATCTTCTTCCTAAATTTCTGCTTTTTAAACTACAGGAGGTTTCTGTTTTGACTTTGGTGTTTCCTCAAATATTTTTTTATGCTTCTGTTGTTGTGAGATAATTATATATGGTTTATTACACAGCATGAAAGCATGGGACCTACAGGAGGTTTCTCTCAATTTGTATTTGATTACGAGCTCTTCACTTCTGTCAAAGCATTAGATAACAGCAAACTTCTGTTAGAATCCTTATAAAAATCATGTTCTGTTTATTTTTCCTTCCAGAATTCTAGTCGGTTGAAGTTTTTCTGGACAGATTCCTGCATCTATTGGATCTCTACAGCAGTTGTTCTACCTGTTAGCAAAAAAAAATTTATTAATAAAACCGGTTCGCAAACCGGTTAACCGGATTGCAAACTAAAAATCTGGATCGGTTTGCAAACCGGTTTATGTAAAATCTGGATCGATTTCGGTTTGCAATATGGCTTGAACAGAAAAACTGATTCAGTTACAAAAAGTATGTATCCGATTCGGTTAACCGGTTTTTTACAGCCCTAAATTATATATATATGAAAAGAGCTTTGATTTTAAGTTTCTCTCATAAGTTGTAAAATAACTTAAATCGTACAAACACTTTTGAAATACACGGAAACAATCCAAAAAATTTTCAAAAATATTTATGATTTTAAATAAACTCTTCGGACCAGTAGATAAACCCAATCAAACAAACTTTAACTTGATCTTAAAAATCTAATTTGACATTGTTAGATAAATATCACATTATTTATTTTAATTTATTCTACATGTCACCTCACAGATAATTTGTGTACGACTAATTATCCAAATATTAGTAACAGTGTCATACCTCAAATATTTTCTCACTTAATTAAAATTAAAGTTTACACACTAGAGTTACTTAGTTGTTTTTAATCGATTAAAAAGTGACCAGAAACTGCCACTAGAGAAGGCATTTTTTTTTTTAACCACAGCCAACCTGGGCAGCCAGGACATAAATTCCACAACACTGCTCTAAATTCTATTACATAAAATGCTTTTTTTTTTTCCAGCTAAAATGTATCGTTCACTCCTAACAGTTAAACCACCATTGGCCTTTCCAAGAGCTTCTCAAATACTGCTGTACACTTAGACTGGTTCCGCAAATTGCGTTGCAACCCGACATGCAAGAAATGCAGATTTTTAGACGAAATCCTCACTCAATATAAGCAAGCAATTGTATTAAAAAATTCACCCTCAAGGTAGGCCATTTTGTCACTTACATTACGGTAACATAGGGTCACCTGATGTTGCAAGCATATGCACCTCCGTTTCTTCAGCTGTCCGTTTAGGAATACTATTTGCCATGGATTCACCTGCAGATATTAGCAATCCAAATCTAATTAAGTATACAGAGAAATCCAGCAATTGTGAAGGAATATCTCTGACTTGAAAAATGAAAAATAAGATAATGAAATAAGATCAGATACTGGATATAGAATCTATTGATGGCTGTTCTGGTGACATACTTCTTTGGCCATCTGCATGTATTAAAATGGTTCAAGCTAGAAGTTAATTTTCCCCACCCCCATCAGAAAGTGGTAAAATTCTTTTTTTCTTTTTAATGAGAAAAATTTTGCAGCATAAATTAAGAGCAGATGAAATCCAATTCTAAATTAAGAGCACAAGTTGAAATCATGCACGGAACAAATCATCCGAGCATACTTATTCACAATGAAACTGTTCTAAATTTCAAACCATCAGAAACATTTCAAACATGCCTAAATCTGAGCATTTATAAGGTGATTCCATGTGGTAATATGGATTCCAAATCCACCGGTCTGTAACTACAAAAATTTGACAGACTTGAGTAAGATGTGCTCGGTTCTGTTTGATTATCTATTGCAAGCTCTCGAGTCTTGTAAAAATACTATTTCAGTCTAGTACTGCAGGCATCCCATTTCTGATTCAGTTTGTCATATTTGTAAAGAACTTAGTCGTGGTTCTAAGCAGCAAACCTGTTATCCCTAGAGAAGCTTTCAACAATGTCTGCAAACTCTTTTTAGTAAACCTTCAAATGGAGCCTAAACCATATTCTAGAAACACCTCAAATGAGCTTCCTATCACTTCTATCACAGTCACAGTTGGGCCATAATGGCCCAATCTAAATCTTAACAAATAACCCATTCCAAGCCACCTATGAGGATGCAGATTTTGCACAACTTCTCAGGCTCCTTTCCAACAAATAATTTACTAGACAGAAAAAAAAAAGGGGCAGCAACTGACAGCCAAATCTCTTCCACAACCATGAAACAACCCCCTACCTTCCGTCTCCAAAAGTAAATAAACATTGTACATATCTATTCCCTTCTCAAATTGGGTCATTCAGTTCTAGGCATTCCAAACATCTGTATACTGTAACAATAGCAAATGGTTCAACAAAATCCGGAAGTTTATCCTGTTTTGTGATTATTAAATTAAGCTTCAGCAAATTCACAAGAGAATCACAAGCATGCTGAATAATAAAACATAAAAAAACCACACTTACAGATAAAGGACTAAAAAAATCTCTAAAACTTAGTAATAGATTGCATACCATATGAATGTTTCAGCCCTTTGACAGCATCAAAGTTCTTGTATGTATAGCCAACAAAACTCAAATCTTTGGGAGTTAATAGCATCTGTAAGAAGAGGGGAGAAAATAGTATATGTTATTATAGTTTTGATATAGCAGCCTTCGAGTTGTTGGTTTTGTAGCAACAGTAGAAAAATATTGAAAAGAAGAAAACCATAGATTGGTATGAAGAAAAATGGTTAAGGTAAGAAAAATTGCATTAAAGATTTCATAGGCACCATGTACACACACTCTCTCCTGCTTAGCTCCACCCACCCAGGAAAAAGAAGAATAGCTGAGTAAGCAGTCATTTCAAACCTGCATCTAACCAATTCATACTTCTCATATTAATGCACTGATACCTAGTAATTCACATTTCTTTACCCTGAAACTCAACACTTAAAAGCCAGTCTTTGCTCAGTAACCACCTAATTCTGCTTCTTATCCACTATCTTATGCACAGATGTAGGACAAACTTAATAAAGCTATAAATGGAACAAGTTATGCCAATGCAAAAAGAAGATGAATTCAAACCTTCCGTGAAGGTCCTGAACCAGTTCTTGCTGATGCTGGAGGATCCAACTGAAGAATAACAAGTCAATTTATGCACAAGAAAATTTGTAAAAGCACCATCACAGACAATAGTACAATGAAGAAAGCACTGATAATGACATGATGAAACATAGAAAAAACAAAGTGTAAGTTTAGAGGACACTCATTTCCCAATTAATACATGGCATTTGCAGCGAAATTGAACTACTGAGTTTCCAATAAGCATGCTTTCACTCTATTTACAGGGAAATGTTCAACCAACCATATGTAATAGATAATCATGGATGACTGTTATTTTTTGTTCACTGGAACACCCTATTAGAGTATACAGCAATATCAAATTCTAATAAGACCAAAGGATCAAAAAAAAAAAAAATAATAATAATAATTTGAAAACCAAAGTTCTAAGATCATATTTATAATTCTCAGCTAAAACAAATTCTTTTGTTAATAATACTGCCAGAGATATTAAATTGGAGTAAAATCAACAAGTGATTCGGAAAATCAGAAAATGAGAAAATCATTAATAAATTTTGCATTTTATATATAAGACAAATAACTTTTGTTATGTAATAACCCATTTAGGTGACTACTAATGCTATATTCAATCTTTACACCTTATTGGGCTTAATTCTGCTCATTATTCAAATCAAAGTATTAAATGACTTAGTCTGTCAACAGTGACTTAGAATAGCATTAACGAAACTCACATCTTTAATGCCAACCTAAAACAAAAGTAGATGCACAACTAACCAAAACTAAAATGGTACTTAAAAGATCAAGAATAATGAAAAAAGGTGACTTTAGAAATTACTTCATCAAACTTCATAAAGTTCTGGGTATCTAGCTCCCCATTGACTTCTGGTTTAAATGATGCCTCCATTTCATAAAGTTTATCCCATGCAACATCCTTGAACCAAGGATGTGCCTGATACAATAGAATTTCGGCAAATATAAGAAAGAAATATTGTTGATAGAAACAAATAACATTTTCAAAAATTTAAAGCCTTACTTTAATCTGGTGTGCCCCTCCAGTGCCTAACCTATGTTCAACATCACATAGTAACCTACAAATGAGATCCTTTGCTTCAAGTGATAACCTCAAATCTTCCGGAAATTTTAGATGATTTCTCCAATGGACAATCTGACAGTAAAATAGCATGTAAGAAAAGAAAGTGGCATATTCGTGGAATTTGTTATCAGATAACAACTTGGTAAACATCATTTAGTGGCTATGTCAGATGAAAGTAAAAGAAAACAAAATACAAACAAAACTCAAAGCACAGAACTTGAAGCAAAAGTAACATGGTGCAAAGTTATTGTTCTAGGCTCCAAACTAGGAATGTTAGCAGAACACAGTCAAAACGTGATACCATAATAGTGGCCAACAACCTAACTCAGGTAAACAGCCACAAATCTGAATTATTAAAGGGAGCTAAATATTTCTCTCATGTAATAAAACTCACTGAAAACAAGAATTTATCATATATATGTACCAATACATCTTAAGTTTCACCAAAATTCCAGTTCAAGAAAAGTGTACTTTGGTATCTTTGTGACTGCCATTTTTTTTGCTCTTGCAAGTATGAAATGGAGGGCTAGAATGTCACAAGTTCAATCAACAAAACGAAACTAAATAAAACAGCGGAAACTGGGATTAATTTTTTTTTTCTTAGAATTGTTATATCCTTTAAATTTTTTGGCTGGACTTAAGTCATACACTAGTAGATATGCAAAGTAGAAGTTTACAACTTAGAAATAATTTTTTGCATAGAAATAAAGAAACAAACAATTAAAAAAAATAAAAGATATTAAAGATCATATGGAGCTAAGAACAAAATACCAATCAAAAGCATAAACGCACCTTTCTACATGTGGTTATTGGGTCATCTGAGTAAAAGGGAGGATATCCAACAAGCATTTCATACATTATTGCTCCTAGTGACCACCTGAATAAAATTCCAATCGGGAAGGCGTATAAAATACTATTTAGATATTGCACAAATGGAAATGTCTATTAAAACTATCATCATGGTCAGCCACAAAAAGAAACTAACCAGTCACATTCCATGCCATATCCTTTCTTTAACAAAACCTCGGGAGCAATGTAGTCTGGTGTTCCCACAGTTGAAAATGCCTTCGAAATCATTTAATAAAACCAACAGCCATTAGTTCCAAAAATAAAAGAAAAATCTTTGGCATCTAAACTGCTGCAGTTCAAAACATAAATCAAGTAGACCAACAGTAAATATGGCCATGCTATAAGCAATTAATTGTATATATTAGTGGCTCTCTGAATGTTGAGAGTTGTAATTTTAGCAAACAAAGGTGCTATTTGCTGCTCCCAGGGAAAGGAACTTAAGTGGAAATATGCATTAAGTCATTCTGTCTATTCACCACTATAGCCACGTAGCTACAGAATATGCAATGAAAAACAGTTCAGACTGCCCGCAAAATCACAAATCCGCTTGAAAAGGTAAAAAGGCATGTATATTCTTGTTACTGAAAAAGAGAAATCTTTTGGTTGGGAAAATGCTCAAGTAGACAATGAAGACTCGAAAAGGATTTGTCCGAAGGCTCCATTCAGTGTTCAGTAACAAAGATTTGGTCCAAATTGAAAGGAAACCTTATAATTAAGAAAGTTGAAAGAAAGCAATAACCAAAGTGTTCCAAAATTTGTGTGTAAGAAAAACTGTTTGAAAAAATTTTGAAACATTAAAAACTCTGGAATTTCTCCAACTTCATCTCAATTAAACCATCAGAGAAATAAAAAATACCACAACACTGCTGTTCTTTTTTTCAATTAATTAATGACAACAAAAACATTTTCAGCCATAACCATATATGGGGTTGGAGATATGATCTGTAGTGCATGCAAAGAATTTATGAAATATAGTAAAATAAGTAAGTTGCTTACCAATTTCCTTCTGTTCATCTGCCAGTGCTGAAGCTGCTCGCGGGCACTTTTCCAACTACTTTTATTATCTGTATCAGGAAAACATCCATCGATATCCATTGGTTCTGCCATATTTTCGTCATCAATGGCTTTATTTTCATGAATTGCATACAAAGTTGAACAATCAAGAGGCTTGCAAAGGCCAAAATCTGATAACTTCATGTGACCATTTTTGTCCAGAAGAAGGTTGTCAGGTTTAATATCTCTGTATAGGGGAAGTGAACATAAACTAATGAGAAAAGACAAATAGCTACCTTAAAATAAATACCAGGGAAGATCTTAACATATGCCAACTTCAAACACAATTCAATAACACAAGTGCACAGCTCAAGTATTAACCTGTGAATGTAGTTATGTTTGTGAATTGACTCGATAGCCAGGACACTTTGAGCAATGTAAAATCTAGCCACATTTTCAGTTAATGTGTCCTCCCTCATCAGCAAAGTCATCATATCACCACCAGGAAGATACTCCATGATCAAATATAAGTATTCTGCATCCTGGAATGAGTAGTAGAGCTTCACTATGCAGTGGCTAGCAACTTCAGCCAGTAAGTTCCTCTCAGCCCTAACATGTTCTACCTACAGTAGGAATACATTTTGTTAATATCAACAAACAAGCATTTTACAAAGCCACACAAATTGTAAATGACACACTAGTTAATTAAGAGTATATAACATATAAAAAGTGCAGATCCCTAGTTAGATATATAGGAAGTACAAACGATCATAGTTGTTATGCATACATGAATTTGAGACCCAAACGTTCCGTAGCATTTAATAATGCTTTCTAAGGGTGCGTTTGGCACACTGTAATAGACTGAATTAGTTTCTTGTGACTGTATTGTATTGTATCGGATTTGATTGTGATAGAATTTGAGTTGGGCCTAACTCCTCACCCAAAAGGCCTTATTGAGTGGGAGGATTGTCCACTCTTATAAACCCATTGGCTTGAGTGTGCCTAGTCGATATGGGATCTCCAACACTCCCCCTCACGGTCAAGCCCATATGGTCTACTTGCCTATGAATGGAGGTAGTTTGACAGCCCACCGCTGGTCAATCACTCAGCTCAGATGGGGCTGGCTCTGATACCATGAAGAATTTTGGAGAAACCGAATGTTTCATTCACTTCTAACGTAAAGTGTACAAGGCAGCCCCATTTAAAGGGATCAACTTAATCTGATAACAATCAGATTTGAAATTAGAATATTAGTCACACACTGACTCCAAGGATAACTCCTACATACAAGGTTCTGTTTAAATTTAAATTTAAAATATCTACACCACAACACTCCTAGAATTACACGTGTTTTCCCACAGATTGGTTTAAATAGGATTGCATGATTTATAATATTGTACTATGTTTGGTATGACGCTGAACTAAATAGGTTGAAAAACAAAATAATAAATTATTTACAATAAAAAGTCTAAATTCATCCATTAATTTAATTTGAAATTTATATAAATAATTATTAACTAAAATTTAATTTTCTAAATATTTATCTACATTATGATAAATATAAAATAAAATGTATATTATATTTCATTCCCATTTACTTAAAGTTGATTTTTAATATATTCTAATTACTTTTTTCTAATTATTTTTTAAAGAATTAATTTTTTGTGAAGATACATGGCATGGGCCCCTATCTCCTCTATCATCCAACTCCTTACATGGAATTCTTTAACCAGACTTCTACTGGAGATGCATGAAGACAAAATAGTATTGCTCAAGTTTTGTACCTTCGTTTCATCCATGTCAATATCAAATACAAATTTGTACACATACACACACATAGACAAGTGGAAACTATTGACACCAAAGTGGACAATGGAAAAACTTGGCAACCAAAATCCAAAACATATAGTTGCCAAACTGCTGGTAAGTACTTACACCAAAATTTAGTAGCATGAATGGCTCACATCAGCTGCTCAAAACCACTGTTTAATGAAATGATATTGTACTATAAAACAAAATTCAACAGCCCAAACTAGAAATGATTTTAAGGAAATACTCTGCTAATAACGCTAAAACACAGCCTGAGATGCAAATCAATAGCTACATATGACAACAACTTTAATTTTGTGTGGTGCAAATACTTGGTAACAGTTGATCAAGGAAAACCTACAATCATTTCTTAGATTAAGCTGCAGAACTATTACACTGTGAAGGGTAGCAGGTTTCATCTCACCTGTCCTCTCTTAAGCATTTCAGATTTCTTCAACTTCTTCATGGCATAGATGTCACCAGATTTCTTCTCCCGACACAATCGAACCTGAAGTTTGAGAAATTATGAGCAAAATGATTTTCAAAATGTCAAAGTTGAGTTTGAAAAATACATGTTAGAAGCAGAAGAGCAAAACTTGCTTGCAAAAAGGGTTAACTGTCTAGTTAATTTGAGAATGAAGAATATCTGATTCATTGCAGGTGTGCCATACAAATTTCTAACCTCACCAAAGGCCCCCCTCCCAATAATGGTCAAAAGCTCGAAATCATCAACACAAATCTTGTGCCTCTTAAGTCGCATAAACTCCGTCTCTTTCCTCTCCAGATCTTTTATGAGATTGATCTGTTCCTCCTTGGGCACATCTGAACAAGCTAATCTTCTTTCCAACACCCATCGTCTGCAAATGAAGGAAAATTGTTTCAGTATTACTTAAACACAACCTTTCAGTCAGTTTGCACCAACCAAAGGAGTTTTCATCAAGAGCAAACCAATGTGAAGAAACTAATTTTGTTGAGACTGAGTAGCTAGGTAGAAGTGAATCCAAAGCATCCAAAAGCCATCCTTTAACAATGAAGATTTTGATCAATCACCATTTATATGAAGCTCTAAATAACAGAGATGTTTTGAGTTTTAAAATGTAGCTTTATGTCGCTCATCACTATGATCAATACTTATGTTACAACTAGCAAGGTAATGGATGCAACTGGCAAGTATCCAACTATGCCACAGGAAATCCTTGAGAGAGTCAAGAGTATCAGACAGCAAGCCCTCGGATGTAAATAAAAAGTAAAAACCTACACTGATACCTTTTTATGAAGCCAATCTACAATAGACAAATGCAAGTGCAATAGTCCAACTGCGGAAACACATATCATTTTACACAGTACCAAAAAAAAAAAAAAAAAAAAAAAAAAAAAAAACATCATTGTTGTGGTTACTAGAAACCGATCTAGTATACTAGATTCTGGGCTTTAAATCAATTCAATGGTGGATACATCAACAACAAGAAAGAACTCAGCTCTAACATTTTTTTCAGTTGAAATTGCAACTAATCCAACTGCTAGGCATATCACGACAGAGAATAGAATCAATAAAATTGTAATAAGATTAGAAAGTTCCAACTTTCCATCATTAGTCAAACTCAAGACTTTGGTTTGAAATTTTTGAAAGGAGCACAGACAGTGGCTCTTGTCACGTTGTAACTTCAGGTTGAGTCTAGTCATATTCTGTGAGCAACTCTCTGAGAAAGTATCAACTCTCACAAAATCAAGCGTTTACAGCTTAGTAACAGTTGATAGGTCTCTTACTTTATCCAAGCAGACCCCAGTCTAGATCTTGTAATCAGCATCCTCTTACTCGTTTTCAGCCAAAATAAATATATACATATAAAGTCCATGATCTTATAACTTTATTAATAAAAATAAATCTCTTAATCATTTTCCTTAGTACCTTAATTTAGTTAGTCCAGCTGACAAATAAATATAAATAGATCAACCATTCCAAACAGAGAAAATTACAGATTGCACAAGTATTAGCAATCAAAAACACTTCCAGAGTTTAACTAAATCAGATTTACTGACCGCAATCTAATTACTACTAACGAAATTAAGGTAAAAAAAAAAACCATCTGAGCACTTCGAATCTCAAGTATCACATTATCTTAAAGTAAAGAAATGGTTTACCACCTCTTCTTCCCCTTAATTTCTCATTTATCGCACACAAGAAAACGCTAACAAACAACAGTAAAACTCAACTCAACTCCAACAGTTAAAGTTAGTTTCGGATGATAACAAAGAATCCGAAACAGCATCTCATTTTTTCAGCAATCAAACAAACAGAAGCTAGTAATTAAAATTACAAAATCAGTCATTTCGAAGCACCTCTCTTTCCGTTCTTGAATATTCTTCATCTGAGCTCTGTAATGATTCTCTATGAACTGCTTTGCCGCCGCCACCTTCTCCATCGTCAACCTGGACCCCAACACCTCCTCCTCCTCCGTCTCCTCCATCGTGTTCAGTCACTTTCTCTCTCTAAAATTTTCTTCAAGTGACTTCTTCAGTTCTTATTAATTGCAACGACTAGGAGATTGATGCCAGACACACTGTGTACATACACTCACGTCTGGACCAGTGTTGACTCACCACGTGTATATTATAATGAAGGTAATCAGTGCTTCACGTGGTGTGCGAAGCAGGGGATCTGAGCAGTTTGTTTACTAGTAGTAGTACTATGCAGCATTAAGTAGGGGTGGGATAAACCGGTTAACCGAACCGGTTTATCCAAACCGAAAACCGAACCGGTTTTCGGTTTTGGAGAAAATCCAAACTGAAAACCGGACCGGTTTCGGTTAAAAACCGAATATAAACCGAACCGAATTTTCGGTTCGGTTTCCGGTTAACCGGTTTTCAAACCGGTTTTCAAATTAACTTTTAATCCATAAAGTTAATTTGAATTAACTTTCAAATTAACTTTCAAATTAACTTTTAATCCATAACTTTTAATCCATAAAGTTTTCAAACCGGTTTTCAAATTAACTTTTAATTCATATGAAGGGGTCAACGGCAACACTTTGCTTGGCTCACGGTGGCGTCTCTTCAGGGTGGGTCTGCAGCGTCTGCTCAAGCCTCACGATGGAGTCTGCTCACGCCTCACGGTGGCTTGACTGGAGAGTGATCTGTTCACGGTGGCGTCTCTTCAGGGTGGGTCTGCAGCGTCTGCTCAAGCCTCACGATGGAGTCTGCTCACGCCTCACGGTGGCTTGACTGGAGAGTGATCTGTTCACGGTGGCTTGAGGCTTGACTTGACTGAAGCTCGACAGATCGAAGCTTGGAGAGAAGACTCTGTTCACGGTGGGACAATGGCGTGACTCTGTTGGAGTGCTGGGTGCTGGCGAACGACGAAAGAGCTCACAGTGTGGATGGGTGATGGCGAACGACGATCGACGCAGACGAAGTGCAGAGATAAGAGATTTGAATCTGGAAAATTTCAGATTTGGTGACTGGAGGCTGAGAGAGTGAAAGTTGTAGCGTGACTGACTGACTGCGTGAGCGTGAGTGTCTGAGTGAAAAAAAAAAATTTTGCTTTTATATGTAGGGTAAAACCGGTTTTTAAACCGGTTTTCGGTTAACCGGTTTGCAATTTTTCAAACCGAACCGATTTTTCGGTTTTTTGTATTTTACTAACCGAAAACCGAACCGGTTTGTAAAAAAACCTAATTTTCGGTTCGGTTTCGGTTCGGTTACCGGTTCGGTTCGGTTTTCGGATTTTTTATCCCACCCCTAGCATTAAGTTTAACGATTGTTTTCAAGTGGATGAGTGATGGGCACACGCGCTCTACCTCGAGGGTTGGGTAGAAATAAAAATAAAGCGTCGTTTTCTAGTCATACATGATATTTTGACACATGGTGGGCCCACGTGTTGGCTATGATTGGCGAGTGTTGTGTACTCGCCTTGGATACGATGTGGAATTAATTAATTCTCCAGTCAGTGATTGGGTGTCACTGCTTAAAGTGTGGGAGTGGGACTGTGGGCTGTAGCTCTTGTCTGTTACTCACACCTCCACTTTTTGTGCAAATTTTAATTAATTTTAAGAAAATTATATTAAATAACTTATTTTTGAGGGCTCATCGAAAAATAACCTGATTTTTTTTTAAGTATATTGGAATAAGGCTTATTTCAAAATTACAGTCTCATTAGGTACTTTATTAATACAGTAAAATCTCTCTATAATAATATTTTATATAAAAATAAACTCTATATAGTTATAAAAAATTATAGTCCCAATTTAGGATAGTTATAAATAAGAATAAACTCTACATTGTAATAAGTTATAATTTTTCTAATTCCCGCCTTAAGGAAAATTGTCTCTACATAGTAATAATTATTTATATATTACAAAAAAATATAAGCTTCGTTTGGCTCACATTTGGGAATACTACTATTAGTATTCCTAATAAAGTTAAACAGTAAAATTGCAAAAACTCACAATATTATTCAACTTTGTTTAAACCGTTTAAATTTGTTAATTTAATAAATACCCCCAAATATTTTTTTAGAAGTTGCAAAAAAACCCCAGCAATTTATATTTACCAGATTTCGGCCACCACCGTCGAAAAATGGCTGGAATCTGGTGTAATGTTGGTAGTGCACCGATCTAGCCTTTTCTTGCCAGATCCACGATGGATCTGGCTAGAAAAGGCCAGATCGAAGGCCAAAGATCTGGCCGTTGATGGCCAGATCGAAAGCCGTAGTCAGTCATCAACGACGGCCAACACATGGTCATCGTTGGCCATCAACGACGATCGTATCTTTGGCCGTCGTTGACAAGCAAATACGGTCAGATCTAGCCATCAATGGTAAGATCTAGCCGTAGATCTGGCATTTGCAGGCCAGATCCACCATGGATCTGGCCGGAAAAGGCCATATCGGCCCACGACCGGTAAGATCCAGCCGGTCATGCGTCGATACGATGACTTCGGCCACCCTCCGGCGGTAGTGGCCAACTGTCCATATTTAATGGGTGGGTTGGGGGTGTTTTTGTTAACTTTTAATGTTTTATTATAGGGGTGTTTAGTAAATAAACAAACATAGGGGGGTGTTTAGAAATAAACAAATATAGGGGGTATTTTTATTTATTTTCAAATCCTACATCCTAATACCTACCCAATTCAACTTTTTTTAACTTTTAGCCAAAAACTTTTCTAAAAAGTGTAAAAAAGTTAACCAAACGGAACCATATGTTATGTAAAATTAAAGGTTTAAAATGAAATAAAATATTAATTTAAAACTGTTTGGGATAATGATTTATGCCTTAGAGTTGTTATCATATTTTTTACCTTATAAGTACGTAATAGCTCGTTAGCATGAATACCTTCCTGTTAAAGCCAAAATATTTTTAGTTTCTCATGTTTAAAGCTTCATGGCACAAGACTTTTTGTATTTCCGTACTATTATCCTTAAGATTATTTCCTTTCTCTTCTTGTCTAATTGCAACAATAATTTCTGCTTTGGTTAAAGCATACACGATTTGTTGCTCATTTGAATAATCGAAGGAGACATTAATATCCATTCGATTAATGTAGTGAAGTTGTCGAATCATATAACTCAATTCTATAGTGACTCTTTTATTCTCCTCATCCACTTCATTTGTAACTTACAATTCATTGACATTAGTGGTCCTAATTTTGCAGCGCTTAAAACCATTGACAATTGTCTGTGACTTTACATCAATTGACCATGCATCAACTGCATTTATAATTCTATCAATGACACTTATTTTTGCTGGTTCTAAGAAAGATCTTTTATCTATTTCAAAAATAGGCAATTGAAGTGCTAAATTGAAATCCTAATATTACTAAAATATGAATTGAAATCCTAATACTGTACTACAAAAACATGAATTATAAAATAAGAAATCAAAACTATAATTTTTGTAACTACACATTTATTAAGTTATAATCTCCTGATAGGAATAAAATTAGTTAGTCCCACCATTATGACTATAGAGAGATTTTACTGTAGCAATCGATAGATGTCTGTCAGTTTATCATTGATCATTTTTTTTATTTTTAGTTTAAAAAAAGGTAATTTAATCTACTGGTTATAAATAATTTTTTTTTTAATTCATGTAAAAAAGAGTTACTTAATATAATTTTTATTTTTTAAAAATTAAAATAGCGATGGATTTTATTACTATATTGAATACTAAATGAAGGAGCATAATGAATGATGGAGTGTGAAGATGAATGAAGGGGCTATTGGAAGAGAAGAAAATAAATTAGAGGGGTACAGATGTGTCATATCTTGGTATATTAAACAGGAAAAAGTACAAGTGTTAAATAAAAAAAAATAAATAAAAACTTTTAACAGAGAAATCTAGCTGTGAACTGACACAGCTATATTATCCGGTGGTATGCGTTGTACCATAATTACACCGCAAATCATCGTTTGCTCTGAATGAGGTGGCGTATGGTGATTGGTCAACAAGCAAACATTGACGAAATAGTGATGGTGTGTGATTGCATTTAATGAGCATGTAGCCCACGCTGCTTTTACATGGACATGGTACATCGAAATCTCTTTAACGTCCCAAACTATGTATTTTCTTTTTTCATTTATATGAAATATTTATTAAAATTCATAGACATTTATTGATTGCAAATACAAAATAAGCACTTAACTGTTTCTATTTGTTGAAACTATAAATAGATTTTTATTGGTTCGTTATCGATCACTTTAATTTTTAATTAAGAAAAGTTAATTTTGTGTAATGGATGTTAAAATTTTGAAATAAAACTATTTTCTAACATACTTTAAAAAAATAAGTTATTTTTTATCTGATATCTCAAAAATAAGTTATGGTAATATAATTTCTCATATATTTATTTATTAGTTATTTTAACATGTATCTTCTAATTTTATTTCTTTTTAAACTAAGGAACAGCATATGATGTAGTGAAACAGCTGTTAGATTTGGGGTATTTTAGAGATGTAAAGTAAAAGGACAAAATAAAACATAAAATAATTTTATTAAAAACAATAAACACGTGGAAGCAACGATTGAGATTTGAGAAAGATATTGAACTAAATTTAGTGTAATAGGACAAAGTTGTTCTAGAAAGACAGCCTGATTATGATAATATTTTTTATCCATTCGGATACCATACTTGTGTGTGTCCATGTTAGGTTGCATTTTTCTTGGGCCGGTAACTAGGCCGATCATCTACAGGCCCTAAAAATTATATTTAAGTAATTTCTCTCTGAGTAATATTAATTAGCCCCCCCCCCCCCCCCCCCCCACCCCCTTTTTTTAAATCCCATTTAAAGGATAAATTATAATTTATAAGAAAACTCTTCCTTTAGCAAACTAAAGGAGAACAAGGAAGTGAGAAATCAATTTTTTTTTCATTAAATTCCTTCATTTTGATCTCGGGTCATATCTTTGAAACTCTACCATTTATTTTTGTAAATTAATCCCAATAAAATAGGTTGGGTTCTAAAGCAAAAATGTAAACTGATCAATTATTTAAACCAATACATTATTATTAATATCGAAAAGTAATTTTATTTTAGTAAGCTT